TTTTAGATAGTTCTAGTTAGGTTTTCCCTATTAGCAGTGGGGATCCTCCAGTGCTAGATGTAATTGACACGGTAATAAAGTCATTATTATTATTATTATTATTATTATTATTATTATTATTATTATTGTTGTTGTTATTATAACAGCCATGGACAAGCGCATCGTCAGCATTCTTGGTTATGACGGGACAAGGGACGTGATTTATGGCGTGGCAAGAACTAGAATAGCCTACGTACGCTGCAACATTACGAAATGCGTGTCCATTGGGAAGGAGTCTTGGCTAGCAATAAGGGATTTGCAAACCACAACCTTAGCCACGGAGATTGCCTTTGTTCCTGAGACAGGTCATGATTTCACAGATGCCCCCATTTCTGTGTATCACTTGACTGATAACGATGGAAACATGTGGGGAGGTATATGAAATTTAGTAGTTTCGGGTTAATCGATTTTCATCTAAACATGCTAACCTTATGGAATCCTTCTATCTATAAACACTATGCGACCATCTATAGACACTATGCCTTCAAGGCTATTCAGATTGGCAGGGGTGTAGGCTGCGAACAGGCTACGGATAAAAGGGTCTGACCGCGGCTGGAAGGGCCGAGACGGAACTGTCTGAGAGTGAAGTTCTCTTTCTTTCCGCTTTCTCTTCGCCCCATCTTCAGCTAGAGAGCCTGTTCACAGGCAAGCAGGGGTGGGGTTGGCGAGGTGTTTTTAATAAACGCGTTGATGAAGTGAGCTCCACATCTATCGACGTAAACTAGAATTTAACTTGGAGCAACTTGGGATGACAGGTTATGATCTTTTTCTAAAGGAAATGGACGTTCCCGTGGGAACTGTATTTGTTTTACAGGCATTTTTTTCTTTGCTTCTAATTTTTTTTTCTTTTTAAACTTTGTTTTCAGTTATGATTAGTTGTACCCAGTTTTTCTGTTCTCTTAACGTTTTTGTAAAATTTAGGCATCCTAAATGGCAGAACTAAGGGTGACGCTGTTGGGTAATAATAATGTTATTACTAAATGAACCTACGGGCCTTGTAGACCTAAAAGGAAATATTTTCGACACGCTATTAATACAGCAAGACCTACACGGTGAGAAGCTCAGTATTCGCATTTCCTGAAGATCAGAAGGGCTCTCTCTGAATAGGGTTTATCCGAGGCTCAAAAGACAATGCAGTAAATTACATCGAGGGTAAGGGGTCATCTAAAATAAATGCCCTCTGTTTGCTGCTGTCACTCCTGTTAGAAGCTTTTGACATCAAATGCAGCCTCTAGAATGCGTTAGAGTCTTCAAGAATTCTTTGATGCATGCCCTAAATCGTTAGCAAAACAGCCACAACTGATTTTTGTTCTCAAGTGAAGAAGCTTTGAGCATTTTTTGCCTTATTCAATGTCGTTATTTTAATGACTCTTAGCTTCAGCTGTGGGTGTTCACCTTTACCGTGTGGAAGCACAGACATGGAAATTACAGGCTAAATGGCGAGACAAGAGTAAGAGTATTTCTATGTTTATTTGTTTTCTAATGCTACCTCTTCGGATGGAAAATAGCTAAACCCGTTTTTAAACAAAAGATTTTGACGAAAAAAGGAAGGTATCGTCGGGAGGGATGGAGAAGGCAAATGAAATGAGAGAAAACAATTAATAGCGTTATGATTATGCAGGCACATTGGTAGTAGGAACAATATTTCAAATGAATGCTGAGGACGCATTGTTTCAAGTGAATGCTGAGGACACATTGTCACATTTGATTTTTTTTCCTAGTTCTTTTCTCTTTATTGTTTCTTTTTTTTTTCTTCAGATCTCAGCAAGTGTCACAGCGGACCATGTGAGAACGGTGCCTCTTGTGTTGGGAATCACGAAAACTACACCTGCATTTGTCCAAAAGGCTGGGAAGGAAAACACTGCGAGATTATTTATACCCCCGGTTAGTTTTTAGTTGTGTTTGTTTGTTTTTATTTTATTTTATTTTTTATTGTCTTTGTTTTTGTTTTTTTGTTGTTGTTTTGATCAAGATGACATCCAGTTGTACGGTTTGCCATTCCGTCCCTGGGTGGTAGTCGGGGCAGCAGCAAATGGTATATGACTAGGCCTCGCTTTGATGAAAGGTTACTGTTAAGCTTGCAGCAGCAAAATTATTCACAAATGCCATAAATTTATATTACTTGTTTATTCCGACTACAGTCTTCATGGAAACAACGGCATGTACCAAGGTTATACATGGAAGCAACTTTGAAATTGGCAGGCTGAGGGATTTTTTAAAAACCACCAATAAAATTTGCCCTACGGACTTGTACAATCTTGTTAGTCTGAAACTTTTACTCATGCAGATTTTTTTTCCAGATTGCACTTAAAGGAGCACAGTCACGGTTTGCACCTCTTGAAAAGTGTAGTCTAAATTTTTCAAATTCGTCGTTTGCAATCCGTGTCAATCTTCGCCATCCTTGAC